TCACAAAGACGATGCGATCGGCCTCGATAAACCGACGGGCGAGCAGTCGGCCGTTCACTGGCGGCATCGCCGTGCCCGCAAGGATCGCAAGAAATCGAATGTACACAATGTCGTCGTCGATATCGACGTCCTAGTATTATGCAGAATATAGAGTCACGCAAGACAATATTGTGTCCAACGCACCTCGGCGACGCTGTAGAGCTCGGGCTGTGGCTTGAGCTGCCGGGTGAGCATGCTCCACACCGCATCCGCAATCACGGTGTAGTCGACGGGGTACGCATGACACTCGACAAAGTGAACACAGAGCGCGTCGTCGACCACTTGCATAAAGCGCTTGCGCACGTCATGACCTTGCGCATCGATGTCGTAGAGCCCGTGGCGAATCCACTCGGTCGCGAGCAAATCATATTGGTGCTGCATGAGCTTGGCCTTGGCTTCGCGCCGACCGGTGGTTCCAAGCGTCGCCAGCTTCCAGGATGCCAAGCATGGAAAGTCGCAGAGCTTGGGTTTGCGAGCGAACGCGCGCTGAAGCGCCGCAATGGTCTTGAGCTGGTCGCGAAGGAGGTCTTGGAGACGAGCGTTTTCATGCAGCGCGAGCTGCGCCGCGATTGCTTGGTCTTTGGCCCGGTCGGCCCAGATGGAAGATGGCGTCGTCATCGCCGAGGCGTTGGCTGTGAGAGCGTCGAGCTGCGCGGTCAACGCGTCGTGCTTGGCGCGGAGGTGCAGGACTTCGTCGCGCAACGACGTGCGACGGCGCTTGGCAGGCCGCGCGCTCTGGTCGGGCAACGTAGCAGCGTCGATCGACGTGCTGTGGAGCGTGGCGACCCATGCGTCCAGGTCGCCGTCGTCAGCGGCGGCGGGAACACACAGCGCCAAGATGTCATCGTCGACCTGATCGTCGACTGTCTCCATCTCGACAAAAATATAAACTGGCCAATCGGCGGCGAGACGTCCTGTCTAGATTCCCTTAAAAAGTACATTGCCCAATCGCGTAACGCGACTGGAACCGTCCAAAGAGAGTATCAAGGGTACTCGTACTCTTGTAGTGCAGCAATGCACATAAGCTGTTGCATTAGCTGGAATGCATACCCATTTTACGACATGATCTGACGTTGCACGTCGACGACTATAGCGTAGCGTACAAGCGTCCAATCATCGATTGCAATGGACGACTGCCAAAATGACTCGCTTACGATGGCGCGGTTGTCGCTGCCAGAAGTGCCACTTGAATCGTGTGCCGAAGCGACAGTTTTCTTTGGCTCGTGAGCTCGAGGAGACAGTCTGTGTACATGCCCGGCGTAAACTCCGTCACCGTGCTCTCGGTTGGCACCACCGGTGGCGAGAAGCGTGCGTACGATGTGAGGCGCGTCGTCTGTTTGCCCGTGGCTCGCACAACGATCCTAGCACAACGATGATGAAAATTGTGTACAGAATACTACCGTACTACCAGCTGCACTGGTTTTGAAGAAACCGCGCCGGGTTGGACGGGAACACGGCGTCGTCCAAAATCGAGCGCGTCACAAACACGACCCGGTCGGCCTCGATATACCGCCCGACGAGGACGCGGCCGTCTATCGGCGGGAGCGCACTTGACGTGACGTGGGCTGTATACTGGAAATACGCAACGTTGTCATCGACCTCGACGTCGGCGGCGCGAAAGTTGTCTGGCTGGGACGGCAGCTGCTGACTAAACATGCTCCAGACCGCGTTGGCCAGCACGGTTGCGTCGACGTGCCAAACCTGGCATTCCTTAAAGTGCACCCAGAGACCGTCGTCTTTGCACCGGACGTAGTGCTCGCGTGCATCGGCATCGGCGTGGCGGGCTTCAAAGTCGTGGAGACCGTGGCGGATCCACTCCGTCTCAAGCTTGTCGTACTCGTGCTGTAGGAGCTTGGCCTTGGCCTCGTGCCGACCGGTGGTTCCAAGCGTCGCCATCCTCCACGGCGCGACGCACGCAAAGTCGCAAAGATTGGGCGTGCGCGCCAAGGCCCGCTGGACGGTTGCAATGGTCTTGAGCTGGTCGTGGAGGAGTGCTTGGAGGCGGGCGTTCTCGTGGAGCGCTTGCTGTGCAACAATTGCTTGGTCTTTGGCCCGGTTGGCCCAGATCGACTTTGGTACAGTGATCGCAGCGCGGTCGGCCACAAGTGCTTGTAGCTGCGCGGTCAAGTCGTCGTGCTTGGCGCGGAGGTGGAGGAGTTCG